ATTAGGGGTTTTAAGCATTAGGGTTCTGCGTAGAAACCTGAACTAAACAACAAGCATAAAACATTTCGTTATAGAAGGTTTTATTGGGGGCTGCTTTTCTTCAGTACCTTTCAGCAAGCAGATTCACACATTTGCATAAGCAGTTCAACAATAATCATGGCATGGTGTATAAAGGTATGTTCATAGGGGTGTTCACAAGAAACGGTTGTGGAGCAGACATCGCACTGACTGGTGCTGGAGGTAGTTCGCTGTTGAGATTTTGATTGTAAGGATATGGTGGAGGCGGGCTGGATGACGTCTTTTGGGGACGGATAGCTCGTTTGCCGGATCTGACGATGCTAATGGTGGACAGAGCTAGCTGGAACATTCAAAATGAGCGCATAAACCACTGACTGTCAAGTATAATAAGCATTGAAATGGTTGTTCGAGAATATTATGATGGAACTAAACATAATTTACTGCAGGCCACAGATGATATACCTATAAGAGCTCACCACAGTGATTACTAATACTCCAAGACCAACAACGCCAGCAAGAATCAAAGGCCAGAAGCTGAAGAAAGATTTCTTGGCACCTAAAAAAGAACACTCCTTAAAAAGCCAACGTCCTGCATTATCTTTACTCATACATACTTGCTAGAAAGAAATGAACTAATTTAATTGTGAACAGGTGGAAAGACTAAAATGTACCTTTCGGAGTAGTTGTTGTTCGTTCGTTAGTGATAGTGGTGGTACTAAATATCAGAGTAGTTGGATTTGTTGTTTCTCCAGATTCGGCGGTTGTAGTAGTGGTTGAGAAATTCCCAATAAGCGTGGTGGTCGTATAGTTTTCAGGTGGCAGTGAAGATGTGGTGGAGTTATACAATGTTGACGTCGAACTTACACTTGAAGTGTTGGTGATTGAGGTCGAAGAATTAGAGGTAGTAGAATCGTTGTTTAAGAATGGCGTAGTGATGGTGGTGTTATTATCGAATATTGAGGAGCTGGTGGTCGTACTATCAAGTATAGAAGAAGTAGTTGTGCTAATTCCAAGTACAGCAGAGGTAAATGTTGTTGTCACTGTTGTGGTAGAACTGTAATATGTTCGTTGACAAAAACGGCTAAATGTTTATTTGCGGCTAATTTGAAGCTTTTTAGCAAGTGTGTATACGTTTGTTCGAAATTGGCCTTGTTCTGGAAATGCAAAAATGAGCTATAGTTAGCTAATTGGCAATAATTCGTTATTATACTTACAAACTCTTTTTTTTTCTCCTTAAATATTTTACAACGCAATGCAAAAGTGGACAAGAACTTGTCAAATGCATATTTAAAGCAACCAGAATTGTTTGAACATTATGAAGGTTCCTTTTTTTTGCTAACTTTAGGTATTTTATCCACTACGTAGTATAGTCATTATATAATTCAATAAAATCAATG